TCGTTCAGACTATGTATGAGCTTATGATAATAGGAAGAGTGTGGATGAATGTCAGTGTTAGTTGAAAGTAATGTTTTGTTTCTCTCTCTCTAGTTATTACAAGGTCTTGATTATTCAGATTCAGTTACTGTTCATATCATTCATAATGGTTTACATATGTCACCTGATGTATGGGACAAGAAGTGTTTAGTATGATAGAACAATCAATAACAATATTAACAAAACTTGTATGGCAACTTGTATTACTCTTCATTTATCATAACAATTAAATGTACTGTACAGTCCACAATCTTCCAGGTCTAGCATTTTATAGGGATATAGTCAGGGGCATCATATCCCTGATGATAGTATGTATTTGGGTGGGGCTGGTTATTAAATAAGATCACGTGATAAGCTAAAGTCAAAATGGACAGAAAAGCTGAAGGTGGGTTGTTTTACAGCATAAAAATTGATTATTTATCATTCTATACAGGTCATTATCAACTGGGATGGAGGTCTCAACATACAACTGCAGTAGTAGGAGAGGTCCTGTACTGCTGGAGAGGGGCCCGGGAAGGATTAGATGGGTCGCATGATTCTCCTACAAAGAGACAGTGTACTTCTACTATTGATGCTTTTAACTTATAGACCTCTTTGGGTGAGAATGAATTACGTCAAAGAATGATATACGGCAAGGGGCGTGACTGAGCCTGGCTGACTCTGAAATAATTTTCGTGGACGGCAACTTTCTATGGAATATGAATGGGCTAATGCAGAAAGCAAGCTCTATTAAAGAATATACTTCATATTGCACCAAATCTCTTTTAGGAGATGCTTAGCAGCGACCATTCTTTCCTCCAACCAGCTTTTGTAGCTTGAAAAAGCTCCATGCCAACGAAAAGGATTAGTTTTGCCTTTTCTTCATCTATCCTCCATTGAATCTTGCCGTCCAAAATGGCGGCCAATTATCACCGTAGGTGGATACCGTAATAAACAGTAATGATATTCATAGGCCACCGTCAATCTCACCTGAAGAGGTCTATTATCTGGTGTTTGGTCCTCTCAACCTACTAGAGGTACTCCTCCCTTGGGAATCAGAGGAGTCTCCTGTACCACCATTAATAATAATATTTATTATTTTGGTGGTTGGTGTGGCCATGGCTCCTGCTACCATAACAGTTTGAACTGTTTAGACACTTTAACTCTTCAATGGAAAGAATTACAATCAACTAATAACAATTTTGTGACTAAGAGAGGCTTTGGTTGCATGATAGTAATGGGAAGTGAAGGTGAACCTCAACAATTACTGGTTATTGGTGGACAAGGACCTATATCAACTATTACACAGTATCATCATCAATTTCAATACAATAAGATGACTGGCTGGGATGATCTTGTTAGAACTAATGAACAGAATATCTACAACCTGTTCAGTGGTGAGTGGCTCATTGAATTAGTCATATTGTGCCATGTCAAATTTTTGGAGTTTAATAAATTACTTGTATACTTGTGTTAGATGAATAAATAATACTCTGTCTAGTTGTTTACAAAGCATATGAGCATGAGTGGTTCTGTGGGTAGAAGTAATGAGGCCAATTTATTAACTTTAAACGAGACACCGTTGGTGCATGGCCTTGCCAAAACAAAGAAAAACAATATTTGTTTTACATGTATGATTTTAGAACTATATTTTGTCCTGCATATTACCACTGTATTAAAAGTTACTTGCTTGATTGCTATAGTTTTGATTGCATTCTTCATAATGAATTAAAGGCCTTTCTACACTAGCACTTCTAATGAGCATTGAACTGGTTTGAAACTGGTTCCAGTCATTCCACACCTGATCATTGACATCAATGTGCCTTATCTCAAACCATCTTCATATGTGGTTTGAATGCCATTCAATAGATAAGGCCACTCCAATTTGATTCCTTGTTTCCCATTACCCGCCCGCATGGGGCCGCATCGCTATTCATTATTGCGGTTTTTCATTGATTATACAAGCAATTTATACAGCTGATAATGAATAAATTTAATGAAAATGAACAAACCCGCCCGCCCGCATCAGGCCCGCCTCTGTAATGGGAAACTATGAATCTTATTGGAGTGGCCTAACCAATGGCAGCTGGATCAGAAATACTATCAAAATATACATGATCCTGAACAAGATAGTGTGGAATCACCTGATGCGCATTCAATGGGCATTGATGAGCCGACTTCTGGAACCTCAGTTCAAGTGTAGAAAGGCCTTAAGATGTGAGGGTGTTTGGGTGTGGCTGCAAACTGACAGCATGGCAATTGTTACAGTCCAGTCAAAGTGTCAAATCTTGATTGCTAGAGTAAAATGGTTCTGGAGTAACTGCTGGGAGAAGCTTGAGTTTCTTGGACTCCTACTCAGTGCACACACACATTTAGTAGGCCCTATTTGCTCCATACAAAGTCTTGTCAAGCATCTGAAATTTATAGGCCTAAACTACTCTTCCTAAGGACAAGCGCCTCGTGTAAAGTCAAGAGGTAAGTAATTTTTAGGCATTCCTTTCTTCAAGACAAAGAAAGTTACAGAAAAACGCTACATATTTTTTTAAAGAAAAGGTTTTTGTGTCTTTCTAGAGATACTAGATAGCCGTGTTACTGGAAGCATGATGAAATGATAGGAGAACCTACCTATACTTGGCAAGATTGTTAGCTTTTGGTGCCTTTCACTGCCACCTATACTTGATATAGCTAAAGAAAGTAACTTTTTCTACCACATGGAGAAGTTATCTGAGTGTATGGGACCCCTTCTAAAACCACAATACCTCAAAGGGAGAGTTTGCTTCTGGACAGAATGAATGAATGACAGACAACACACTTAACTACATAGTCCATGCCCACACTAATCGCTAGTGAGGCCAAATAGTAAGACAACCATTGAAGCTACTGCCACTGTGAGTCTTACTTAAGCTCACCCACAGTGGCAGTAGCTTCAATGGTTGTCTTACTGGGTGTCTATTCATTAACAGGGAAAAAATTGTATAAAAATTTAAAAAATCTGCCAAAGCAGGGATTGAACCCCTGTCTCCAAGTCTCTAGGCTGTGCTTCAAGAGTTAAGCTATTTGGATCAATCTATAACTATGGGCTACCTATAAATTGGGTAAAATATGCACATCTATATTGAGAATTTTTAAAGATGGGTATTTATTTAAGTTGGGCTTCAAATCAGGTAAATATGGTATACATGTACTTACAGTTGTCCTCATATTTTATAGTAAAAATTTGACATATCAATAGTCACTGATAATTTTCTTTAGGACAATGGACTGTTCCATCTGTCGGTGGACAGTGTTGTCCTCCAACTAGTAGCTTTATAATTGAAAGGATCAATCATAATAAAGGAATTATGTATGGAGGAGCAATGACTGATAGTGGTATACCTACTAACAGTATCTACTTGTTTCAATTGTCACATGATACAGTTGTAAGTTAACCTAAATATTTATCAATTCTAAGCATTGTGTTTGACAAATTTTTGCTGCACGTGCTCAGTGTTCTGTGCTATATAATATGAAGATCATAGGAGAATAGCAATTATTGAGTGACAAAAGTTTGGATGACAGTGACTACATCTATTTTTAAAATAGATATAGTCACTGTCATTCAAATTTTTGTATTTTTAATCAGAAGTGTGAGTGATTTACCTTTTGATGCATGTTTTACAGTAGAACTGAATCAAATTTAACCCTTGCATCAGCATGACATCAGGATTAGTGTAATATTGTAAACCCACTGTAAGTGGTGAGCCTAAGCTAACAAGACATATAAATTTACATCTAAATATGCAATATTTATGTTTTTAGAACTGGGAGTGTCTTAAACAAGGAGCAATACTTAATGATGAACTATGGCTTAAGGAGAGACGTGCTCATGCCAGTACTATTATCAATGGTGTCTCTACCTCACCTACACTAGTAGTGATTGGTGGAGTGGGTAATAGGGGTCAACCAGTGAATGATTGTCTGTTATTAGACACAAGCCAGTACAATTGGATGAAGGTATTGCACTGAGATTATATTATTACATAGATAGTGTACTGTAGAGTGGGTAAGTGTTCAATTGGTTAAAATTTTGCCAATTGAACAAAATAGAGATTAATTTTTTTGGAACCTGGTATCCACACATGTACAATAATTAGTTTCACTTGGTTTTGTGTCCTGTGTACATGTACTTTAAAGAATGTATAAGAACAGTTTATATGAAGCCTTTTGTGCAGTCAACTGAGTTCAACACAACAGCATTTATTGGTGATTATGCTTGTCAGCCATTGAATCATTGCATAATGTTTTGATTTTTTTTTCTCTATAGAATTAATTTTCATTAAAGGGAATTTATTAGTTTTTGTATTTGTGGATTGTTTTTAGAATCTGTTATTGAACAATAATGGTTCAAATCGGACAATTTGTAAATGTCCAGTGCAAATTTGAAATTTCATTCATACATGTACAGTGTAGTATATACTCCATTATCATCCACTGGTGTTATGATCTCTTTCAGTCTACATATCTTTACATTCTCTATTTTCTACAGATTCCTCTACCTGATTCTCTTACTGGTAGATTCTATCATACTGTATCATCTTTTGTTGTTGATCCTAATCATGTGTTCCTGATAATAGTGGGAGGTATTGTAAAGAGAGAACAGATACATATAAGAGGAGGAGTAATGAAATGGTTTGCTATACCTGTGACTGATCCTAATATTACAATGGTAGTTGAACTAGGTAAGATTAATTATTATTTTATGTAAATCTTACAAAGTAAACTCTTTACAAAGTTTACATGTATTACCATATCCCGTATAGCAGGAAATTTTGGAGGGATATATATTTAGCAAATTTGGTGTTTTGATAGCCATTATCAAAAATAAAATTACCATTTTGAGCCATTATGCACATGCTTAATGACACAATGCCACAAATTTGCCAATCACCAAAATTTAACAATTCACCAAATTTAACTCCCTCCAAAATTTCCTGCTCTACAGTACTGTACCAGATGATTTGTTGGTGAGGGGATGATTCGTGGTTTTATCAGTGAAGAAAAAGCCATTATAAAATTTCCAATTCTGTTTCAATCCAAGCATGTTTATGATCTCTATGCATATGAACTATGTGTATTACTTTTCATAGACAAATTTAATTTTTTTGTGTATTGCATGGGTGGATTTATGATTCAGACAGCAACAAAAGCTAAATGTATACCATCAGTATCATTTTGTGCCTAATTTATGCTTGCAAACAAACTAATTACAGATT